CGGGCTGCCGTTTGGGTGTCAGTGGCTCGGGGAGGGTGATCCGGTCGGGCTCGAGCTCGAATAAGAAGGAATGGTGCGGGATCAGGAGGATCAGAGAGTGTGGCTTTGAGGTTCGAAGAGGAAGGGGGGAGGGCTTGATGTAGAGATCAGAAGAATTCTTCATAGGGATCGATGAAAAAAACGATTCCGGTTTGATTAGGACTTCGGTGCAGGAAGGGGAGATATGCAGACGAAAGGTTTCAGTGCAGAGGGAAGCGGCTCGGGTGGGAGGTAGGAAGGATCGACCGATGCGGAAGGCTCGCATGCGAGGCGTGAAAGATCGAGTGGTGCATGCTCGGGCGTAAGCCAGGAAAGATCAGTGGTCTCTATATGCCACAACTCCTTCATTGCTTTCCCAATGGTTCAACAAGCAATGGCTTCAGTAGGCAGAATAATAACAAGGAGGTTTGAGCAGCTTGCATGAACAGTGGAAGTTGAAGCACTTCATGAGAAGAAAGGGGCTTCAGTGGCTCTTCAAACGGGGAAGAAAGATAAGAGGTTGTGGTTCTGACGTTGCTTTCCTCCCTAACATCAATCAAGACTGTCTCTTGAAGCTTGCGGTCACGAAGAGGAAGGGAGACAAACTACTAGGAGCGGCAAGGGAGGGTTTCGGAACAGAGAAAGCCGAAAATTCCAGAGGACTCTGTGTTCAGCGTTCCTTTCTTCGATAAGGAGAGGCGACGAGACATTCTCTATGGCTGAAGACAGACGAAGAGGAAGGTGTGGGTTTCATGCAGTTGTTCCGAAATTTAAAATCTGGAAACGAAATGTGGCAGGGGCTTCGTCCGTTTGTAATCGAGGAGAGGGAACAATTATCGAACTGACGTGGGATTCAGGAGGCGGTACAAGGTAATATTTTGGAATAAATAAATTAATTATCCTCCCTCCCCTTCTTTTTTTTATTTTACGGTTAAAAATATTAATATAAATATACTCAAAATACATTAAAATTCAAGATTATATTTTAAGTAAATAAAAATATATAAAAATGGCATTTATAATTTATATTAAGTAATTTCTTGTTATTATCTTATAGTTACTCATTTTATTTGTCATTTCATTATAACACTAATTTGAATTAATATTATTTTCTATGTTTTAGAATAAGCAAGCTGACTCCTCGTAAGGTGGCTCGAACTCATAGAATTAAACTCAAGCTCAAACTCAAACTCAATTAATTAATCAAGCTCACCCTCAAGCTCAAAGTAAGGGTGACTCGATCTTGACTCCAACAATCACCAATGGTGACTCACCCCAGGTAACCCTCCCTATGTAATGATATGGCCAGCGGCCACAGTTAACTATCGTTAACGTTGGCACCGCCTATGGCCAT